AAGATTGTGGAGGAACAGATACAGTTTTTTCATCAAAAGAGTCACTTTGGTGTGTTTCAAATAACACTCCCTCTCAAAAAGAAAGGATTCATTTCTCAAATGCGTTGGGATCTGGGAATGATTTTAAACACAATGTTGTTTTCACTGAAAATAGAGTCTTCAAAGGGGTTGTTCAACAAGTACATAATGTGGTACCTGAAGCAAAGAGAACTTATAAACAGGAAACAGCTCATGAAGACACAAGTATATATAGAAATCAGGCCAGAACCTCATTTGATCACTTAATTGAGAAACATGTTATTCCATTTATGACAGAACTTGAGGAATTCTTTGAAACAGGGATGGATATGAGCCACAGAAAGTATAAATCCCGACCTCATTTGATCAATCGCTTAAGGCTCATGACACATGAATTTCTTTTATTTCTTGTAAAAGTTAACTTTACCTTTGATCCTGAGGGAAAAGAGTTAAATAATACCTTACTTGAAGGATACAAATGGTTAATCAATATCTGGAAAAGTATTCCAATTGAATCATACATCTATAATCATGCACCTAACTTTAATCAACTTCATGAAGCTTATAATTCAACTGCTACAGTTGAAGAAACCTTGATTTCTAGAGTCATGGGTCTTAATTTATTTGCTCGAAGTCAACACATGTTCATGGCTTATTTATCACTCAATTGGATTCAGAGATTCAGACCAAAATGGTTTGAGATCCTAAACATAAAATCCAAAGATAAATTGGAAAAAATATCAATACATAACCCCAACTTCCATCTATTCAAAGATTTTCTGAAGTTGGTAAACAATGTTGAAATAAGTGAATAACCTGCAATCAACAGCAATGAACAGGACTGTAGGCTCTCCAAAAAAAGGTGCCAAGAAGATATGCCAGAAGGCTGTGTTAGATGTGATGTGTCTGACCTATGTTGATCATTACTCTTCCCTTTCTCTCCCCAAAAACAATTTTCAAACTTTTTCAAAATAATTGTTATCTCTACCTTTATCATCCTTACAAATTTTGCACATAGTTGTACAGCCTCAGTTTTAGTGTATTTTTCTCAGCTCAGTTGCCACTGGTTTCCTCTATTGATTTGTTCATTTGCTGTCTAGAGTAGCACCACATGTGGCCACCTGCAGGTACTCTCATAGTGCCCAATGGCATGAACCACTGAATTGGGGTTTCTCTGACTTATCTAAATGACCAACCAAGAGATTTCTGAGGACCTCCCATTAAGGACCATTCAAATTATCCTCACAGGTCCAGTGTCACACAAGACCATTATGTGTATCAGGCTACCAAAAGATATATCCTCTTATGTACTGGGTACTCATCAATCAACATTGCAGGAAACCTGTACATTGGATCTTTTCAGAATAGTTTGATATATATATTAGGACACCTGAAGACGACTGGGCCAGCCTGAAGTAGTACCAAAGGTATCCTCAAACTGCTCGCAGCCAGGCTGAGGCAGAACCAGACCCAAATCTGATCAGTTTACAAAATGGATTAAAAATCTGAAGACTGGCACCTGAATTCCAAGAAACCAATCTGTCTCACAAAAAAAAACAGAAAAAGTTGTATGTACTTCACAAATTGGGGTACTCAAAATTCAATACTCAAAATTCATATTGATTGTGAAAATTATTGCTGGATCTTAATCCATCCTATGAGAAAGGTTTTGGCACAGATCCAGGGGTAGTCAAAAAAAGAGTTACCAGAAATCATAAAAAGAATAACCAAATTGATTCTAATCTCAGATTTAACCTTTTTCAAACTGGACAATCTGACAAAATATTTCACTAAATCTCAATTTTTTTAATCAATCTTTCCTTCTTTCTGAAATAGTCTTGAGAGTTCATTTCAGGAAAGAATTTAATACATTAATATTTTATATTGAGGTAAGAGATCAATATATATCAAAAAGTCTTCAAAGTCTGAGTTTATAGCGTAGCTTTTGATTCACAATGAAGGCATAAAATGAAAAAATGTCTCACAAGGTTCTCAGATAGAACCTCCATACAATTTAAAAAACAGCTTGGCATTGAGTGTCTTTAGGAACTGGTCCATGCTCTGTCAATAGTTTACACCAATGACAAAAACCCAATCAATTTCCATTCACATCATCAACACAATCATAACCATACACCCCTTTCAATCCCCTCAAGCAGTCCAAAAAAGAATCAAACTCTAGTATCAAAAGGCATCAACGAATTCAAAACCGAATTCCCATTAATGATCCCAGTCGTCAGCACAATCAATTTCCTACCACTTTCATTTCCCATCCCAATCCCCATTCCTCCTTGTTCATTCATCCTAGATTTCTTTTTATACTTCTTTTCATTAAACTCTTCAAATGCAAACCTTAATGCAGATATCTCAGAATAAGTTACTCCTCCTAAAAAACATACAATACAAGTTTTAGGTGTGATAGCAGATGAATGTAAATCATTTGAACCTATTTTTCCCAATCCATCAAACAAACATACATATATAGATCAATCTCTTAAGACTCAAATCTATTGATGATGGGAAAAAAAGTGCTATCTTAAGCCAAAAGACTACTAACCAGGAGTGGCGCTGCGCTGCCGTCTGGGGGGGACTGGGCGGCCTTTTTTTAT